CTGAGGAGGGTTAAGAGGATAAAATTATAAATATATAAATAAATATATTAAATGCTTATTAAATTTAAAATGTTAAAATTAAATTATATAAGAGTTACAACAAATTACTATAATTTAAGTTTTACACAAGGACATTAACCATTTTATCACTCTTCAATATATGGATGGATATATGGCTACTGACAAAATTGTAATCTCCTTAGTTCCATTGTGTGGAAGGAATGAATACTCAAACTGAGCTTATCACAGAGCACTATTCTGCGAGATTAAAACGAAAAATCAGTGAGAAAGCACAAAATAAATTCAATTTGAAAAATGCGTTGGGTTTCTTATTGTTCCGTTACGTGCATTGTTACAGGGCCATTTAAAGCATAGATAATGAAATTAGATATTTCAAAAGTCCATACAAAACTTTGTATGAATGAAATATATTGCCAAAAAGGCACCAGGCTTTTTCTTCCGAGAGCACTTAAAACCTTTTTTTTATCAGTGTCAATTTTTACGAGGAACTGAGTTTGACTTCTTGCCAATGAAAGAATTTTACTAGTGGACACTTTTTTAAGTGTTATTTGAGGACTTTTTTTTAATAAATAATATCATTTTAAAAATTATTTCTCAAAATAACATCTTTGTAATATTATTTACCTATTTAGCACCATTTACCGTTCACGTTTTAAAATAATCAATTATTTTATATTATGATCAATTATTTCGCGTAAGATCAATTCTCGCTCAAGTAAGAAATTCATCGCTTGAGCAAGGAGACCTGCAACTAATGGGTATTGTCAAGTTCTATTTCGCTCAAGCGACGGAATTCTCGCTCGAGCGAGAAGGGATTAAAATATGTGGTGAACCAATTTACATTATGTGACTAATTGTGTTGGACCTTTAGTCTGTGGTTAACTCTTGCTCAAGTGAGAAATTCATTGCTTGAGCGAGGAGACCTGCAACTAATGAATATTGTCGAGTTTTATTTCGCTCAAGCGATAGAATTCTCGCTCGAGCGAGAAGTGATTGAAATATGTGGTGACCCAAGTTATATTATGTAGCTAACTGCGTTGGACCTTTAGTTTGTGGTCAACTCTATCGCTTGAACAAGGAGACCTGCAACTATTTATAATCAATTATAAGCTAAACTGATCGATTATAATTTTAAAATAATCGATTATTTTAAATTATGATTGATTATTTTTGCGACTTTTTTACATAATTAATATGTTTTTAAAAACAATTTCCCAAAACAACACCTCCCAATATAATTTCTAACTCACACAAGTCAGAAATCCAATGTTGAATCACCCACCCAAGTCAGGATTCCAATCTTGCATTCCCTACATTGGGTTAGGCAAAAACAAAAGAATCCAAACACATTTAAAGAGATGCTGACTCACCCACTTTGCTTGGGTTTTGTGTGTCAGAAACCATCTGAGGGAGCCTTGGATTCAAACCATTGGACTTCATTATAAATAGATCACTTTCATTATTTGAAGTTCTCACATTGCACACTCCTAAATCTCTGAAGCTCTTTGCATTCTTTCTTCTTCTTACCTTTAGTCTTCTTTTTGTTCCACACTCCTAAAATGGGTGTAGTGTCTACTATTATCCACTATGATGGTTCCATGAACCCATGTCCTATGGAGGGAGTTACCTTCAATACTAAACTGCAAAACTTGTTCCTTTGAAGAGAGGAATTTCTCTACAAAGGTTGAAGAAGTTGATCCACAGGAAATTGGAGAAAGAACCCCACGAAAATGTAGCAACCATCCATTTTCACTGCCTAACTAGACTCGAAGTTGGGATCAACAACTTCATTGTTGTTGAGTTAAAAGATGATGACGACGTGGAGGCCATGTTCGATGTTCATGACTCAAACTCAAGTATATGTGGTATTGAAATGTTTGTTACATTTAAAACTTCTTCTTCATACCCCAACCCACACTCACCTGAAATCTTACCCTCACCCTACTAAGCTTTCCCAAACATTGACCCAGAAATACCCACACATAATGACTACATCCCTTTTACCCAACTTCTAACTAGGCCTTCCAGCAACATCAACGAAGAACTACCCACACAAGAGAATGAAATTGTTGGTCTCCTAATTGAAGTCGTTGATCCTTTTAGTGAGGACGAAGACGAAGATGAAATTCTCAGCCAACAACAAGATGATTCAGAGGACGAACAACCACATATCCCTATACATGCACCAAACTTCATGAAACCATACAACCCACCACAACATTTTCTTAACTTTGAAAGTCACATTCAACAACAAGACCCAGAGTATGGCCATGCATTGGACAAAGAGTCTTTTGTTTATCTGGTAGGAACTCTATTTCTTGGACAACGTTTCATAACAAAAGAACAAGTTCAAGATGTCATCAATCGCTTTCACATTGTCAATCACTGCACATACAAGGTGAAAATTTCAAACCAAAGTGGATATGTTGTTGAATGTGTTGATAACCAATGCAATTGGAGATGTCGAGCAATATTGCACACAAGAGAGCAATATTGGGAGATTATGAAGCTTGAAGGGCACCATAAATTCGTTTCGCCATTAATCAGTCAAGACCACAACAAGTTGGGATATAAAATGATTTTCCAAACAATTGGTCAAATAATTGATGTTGATTCGTCAACACCAATCTCCACAATCATAGCCCACATCCAATTAACAATGGGTTACACTATAACGTACAAGAAGTCTTGGTTGGCCAAACAAAAGGCAGTAGAGACCATCTACGGTAATTGGGAGGATTCGTATATGAAGTTTCCTTATTTCTTACAAGCCATGCAACAATTTGTTCCCGGATTCATTTACAAACTGCAGTCACAACCAACTTACCAAGGTGAGGTCCTTCAACAAAATTCAAATATTTTTAAGCATGTGTTTTGGACGTTTAGGTCATACATAGATGAATTTGTTCACTGTAAGCCCATTGTTCAAGTGGACGGAACTTTTTTGTACGGAAAGTATAGGGGTATCTTGTTGGTTGCAGTAGCACAAGATGACCGCAACAACATCCTCCCCATTGTGTTTGCAGTGGTCGAAGGTGAAACAAGTGATGTCTAGTTTTTTTCTTAAAAAACTTCCAAAGATATGTCAAACTCCAGCAAGGATTATGCCTCATATCAGACCGACATGAATCCATTAAAAGTGCATACATGAGAAATGGAAGTGGATGAACAGAAAATAATTCAGTGCATGTCTACTGCATTAGACACATTGCACAAAATTTTATGAGATGTTTCAAAAACACCACACTAAGGAAAGATGTTGTAAATATGAGTAATTCTTTTGCTTCAAATTTGTTACAATTTATTCATTATTTAAATGTTGCTAATAAATATTTATATTAACTATATTTTTTTTAATATTATTGTAGCATATGGGATGATCGAACTACAATTCTACTATTATTACAATATCTTGAGACAATGTGACATAAAAGCAGCTAATTGGTTATATGAGATACCTAGAGAAAATGGACACTTACATGGGACAATGAACGACGTTGGGGCCACATGATGACCAACATAGCAGAGTTTATCAACTCTGTTTTGAAAAAAAAAACAAGAAATCTATCCATTTGCTCTATGGTCAACACAACGTACACCCGCTACAACAAATTTTTCATTGAAAGAGGAGACGAGATAGATGTCATGATCAATGTTGGTCACTCTGAAATTTTAGTCACAAATTTAGAGGAAACACAAACATAGGCGAACACGTTGAAATTTTTTCTTTTTCATTATATATAAAATCATTTTTTTATATTTCATCATTTTACTTTTCTTTTATATACTTTTTAATTTTTTTACCTTTTTAAATTTTTTATATTAATTAATTTATTACATTATTATCTTTGTTTTACCTTTCACTTTTCATTTTTTTTTCTTAATCTCTAATTAATTTATTTTTTTCAATCTTTTTAATCAATTTGACTTGAATATAAATTTAATTTTTCTTCTTCTTTATTTTTTTTAATATTTTACATAAATCTTAATAATAACTAATATTATTTTATTTATAATTTATTTTTATTAAATTTTATCTCAATATTTTAAATGATTAAAAATAATTAATAATTTAAATTTTTATTATTTTAAAATAATTAAATAAAAATTAACTTATTAAATATCTTTTTATAAACTACATATTTCATATTTTTAAATTACAACTTAAAAAAAACTAATTTATATATATAATAAATATTTGAATAATAATAATATTATTATAAGTATTTTATATCAGTATTAAAAAATAATTAAATATTTCTTTTATATATTATTTAATATAAATATAATAAATTTAAATATACATTTAATTAATAATAATTATAAATTATAAATATTCATTTATATGTAAAAAATATATAAAAATATTAAAATTAATTTATTTTAAATATAATTACTTTTTAGACATAATGCCAATGAGAGACGAGGATCAGGAAATCGAAATCCAATTAAACGAATTTTTAACCAAGGAAACCGAAACCCAACAAAACTTAATTTTTAAGTCTCACGGGATTCTGGGTCGGGACTGGGGATGAGAACAGTTAAAAAAAAAGAAGAAAAAAGGTCAGGGGGTCGTGTCTGCTAACATTACTTTCATTATATGACTAGCATAATTCAAACAAATAATATCCCCACAGAATAAGAAAACCTTTGAACCCATTCAAATTCAAAAAAATAATATCGCCACAGAATAAGAAAACCTTTGAACCCATATGCGAAAAGTTCGGGATTTGGTCCTATCAAGTGCGGAACATATTACGGAAATTTAACATCTGTGTTTGGTTTCAAAACCCTCTCCAGTTTTTGCTGACACTTGAAACTAGATTAGCTTTTGACCTCAATAAGACAGGCAACAACTCAGATTTTGTTTCACCCGAAAGATGCTTCATCTGAACATGTGCTTTGATAACAACTGGAGCTCAAAGTCCAGCTCATGCAGGGGCAGGAATCTCAGCAATCACCGATTGCTCAGTTCTTAATTAGCCGAAAGGATTTTCCATCTCAACATGAGCTTTGATTTCTGATACTTCTGTCTGCAACAACTGGGGTTCATAACTTGATCCAACCATAGATGTGGGTGCTGGTATCTCAGCAGCCATGGCCAGCTCAGATTTTGTTACGCCGCATGAATTTTCCATCTCAACAAGTGCTTTGATTTCTGATACTTGTGTCTGCAACATGTGAGGCTCATAACTTGGTCCAGTCATAGATTTGAGTGCCGGCATCTCAGCGGCCACGGCCAGCTCAGTTTTTCTTTCACCAGAAGGATTTTCCATCTCAACATGTGTTTCGATTTCTGATCCTCGTGTCAGTAACAACTGAGGTTGATAACTTGGTCCAGCCATAGACGTGCGTGCTGGTATCTTAGCACCCAAGGCGCATGTCTCTGATGCTATTGCTGGAATTTGTATTTTAGATAGTACAGTCAGCAGGAGATCAGCAAAAAGTTGACTATTACCATCATCTTGTTGGAGTTTATCATTAATTGTATTAGACAGAGCATTCATGACAGGTAGGTATAAGCCCAATGGCTCTCCAGACCCAGCATGCTGATCTGCTCCTGATAAAACTTGGTGAGCACGAACCCACTTCACTCTGTTTAAGTGCTTTCTCCCATTCATATGCCGCTGGTAATGATTTGTACACATAACTTTAGTATTGCATATCTCACATGTTAAAGACTTAATATTTTGTGTGGGGTATTTATTTTTCTCAGACTTCTCAACTTTCTTAGGATGATCTGTTACATTCAATTGAGATGGCCCAGTCTGTAAATAGGAATTCACAAATGAGGTCAAACATATATTAACAAGGTTGCAATATTGAGCAATGAGTGGGAAAAATCAGAGGAAATTTGACACATGCACACAAATGATACAGTATCACTCATACAAGGGAATAGATGTGAAAGAAAAAACATAAAGTACTCAAAATTTTCAGCAGTTCATCTTATCCACATACAACATGATGAAACATAGGATACGTTGGGTACCCAGCATTCACCAGTACACGTGGTCAACTAGATGGGTAGCTATAATTAACTTTGTCACACAAAAACTTTTCTTAGAAAATAAACATAGTAGTATGGAATTATAAATATGACTACTGTTAACAACTCCTGATACGAAGTTAACAACCATTTGACATTTCAATAACCATTTCGGTAACCTCGTGACACAATTAACCCTTGTGAGACAACAAAGCTAACCCCATTAGACATTTCAAAAATATCAGAACAAAGTCAACCACACATACACACATCAATAATCATACACAATTACGTTCATATCCTCTTAGGCACTGTTGAAACTAATTAACCATATCTTAATAGGGTCTCATAAAATATAAGTCATTTAATGAAAAGCTTGAGATTTCTAAAGGCTTGACAATCATACAGTTTCCACAAATGAGACATTTGAGATAAAATAAAACCATTCAAAGGTCGCAAGCACGTTATAGATTCATCTAGAAACCTAACTATGGGCATTGGAATACAAGCCCTACATATAATAAAAGAATTGAAACCTGTAAAAGCGAAAAAAGGACAAAAGATGACAAGTGATTGTGATAAAAAGATATGGGGAGACCTGATCGGTAACGGTGGATTCAGATCTGCTCTTCTGAAGACCGGTGGTTATTCGATAACGGTCATCGAAAATTGGAAGTCCGGATTCAAGTCTCCTCTTCTGAAGCCTTGTCATTATTCTAAAGGGAATCGGTTCTTCTTCTTCTTTTCCCATTGATGAAAAATGTTCCTCGGCCTTGCGCTTCCTCTCCATTCTCCACTGGGAACTGTTTTTTTTATTCCTCTTCTTCGGCTTCCCCGAACCCCCATCTTGATTGGAGGGGTTCAAACCGGAGGCGCTTTTGTCGTCAGTGATGGATCGTTTCTCAGATAGGGGTTGGCCTTTGGGGGTGGCACGGGTAACAGAATCGGGGACGGACGGAGAAGACATGGCAGCGTAGGGAATGAAAGAATTTTGTAGCTTGAAAGAGGTTTTATCGTGGAGGAAACCCTAAATCTTTTCTTGCCCTTTCCTAATGTTAAAATAAATAAATAAATAAATTGTGCTTCTTCGCATTAAACAAAAAAATAAATAATAAATATACTAGATTCATTTCAGAAGAGAGTGACATATAATTTTTAAATTAATGTTTTATTTTTTAATATTATATTTTGATATATTTATAAAATATTTTTTATAAATTCATGTATTTTAAAAAAATTAAATTAATGAAATAATATCATAAAAATATATTTAAATTATTTATTTAATTTTTATAATCATCCGTATAACATTTATTAAAAATAGTATATATATATATATATATATATATATATATATATATATATTATAAGTGGAAATTCAAATATATAAACTCATATTTTAAATATATTCATTTATTTTAATTACTATTTATTTATTTATTTATTTTATATAAATATTAATTAATTTATTTTAAAATAATTTTATAAAAGAATATTTATTTTATAAAAGAATAATTTTGTAAAATAATATTTTTTTATAAATAGAAAATAAAATATCAACATTATAATAAAAAAAAACATCTTTCTTTGTTATATAAAACAATATTTTTCCGTTCATATTTCTGTATTAATTATTTTTTATTCTTTATTTTTTTTTCTACAAAATATATATTATTATAATATTAATAAAATGTAGTATAATGCAATTATAAATATTGAGACAAGGTACAATATTATTTTTAAATTAATAAGACTAAATGACACTAAAAACATGAAGAAATTAAAAGAAAAATAACAAAACAAAAAAATATATTTAACTTATTTTAAATAAATAAATAGTCAAATTACATTTATTAAAATATAAAACATTATTAATTTAATACTTACAATAATAAAAAATATTTTAATTTTCTTAAAAATATTATATTATAATTTAATAATAACAAAAAGTAAATTATAGATATATTCCTATATTTTTTAATTAAGGCTAATGTGCCAATTAAATTTTTCTAATGTAATATTAAATGAACAAATTTAAATACGGTAATTGGATACGAGTTTATTTGCATAAAATTTAGGACATATTTTAGTTGGTTTTTTCATTTGTTTTGTTTAAATGGAAGTTAATGAGTTAATTCACATTTTAAAAAATTATATATAAAAATACATTATTATTATTATTAAGAATATCAAAATAGATTTAACCTAATCAATATGTTTAAAAGGTTTGAGACACAAAGTTAGATTAGGTTAAAAAAATTTCATCTAAATTGAATTATGTCCATTTCTTCTTCATCTATTTGGCTTAGACTAGATTAATATGTAAGTATGTAAGTGTATGAACTGACTTATATATGTATTATATTAACTTGATAAGAAATTTATTAATTCTAAGAGTAAATATAATAAGAAGTTTTTCACATCTACTTATTTCATGATCTAAAAATTAAGATGAATTATTATTTGTTATTAACAAATTATTAAAAAAATTAATGATAATAATGAAAAGTAATTTTTTAACTTTTATTTTGAGACTAAATAAATCTATTATCTTATAATTTATATATTAATCACTATATTTAAAATAAAAAATAATTTTATTAATATAATATAAAAAATTTAAAATATATTTTTAATTTTTATTTAAATATTTTTTAATTAAATTTTTTAATATATACATGCAATAATTTTATTTTTACTTTTTTAATCGAGTCAAAATTGACTCATTAGTATGTTAACCTAACGAGAATGGTAAGTTGGGTTGAACCCCGTTTGGATAACTCTATCAATAATCAAATAATACAACATAAATTAAGTTTCATAACAAAAATAATTATGTTATCAAATAACATAATATAGATAATATAAATTATAGAAGAATTTATCTCCTACCTTTTATTATTATTATTATTATTTTCCTCATCAATATTTATCTACACTTGAATAATGAAATTAATTCAATCATTCATTTTCATTAAAGATGATAAAACGGGTTAGGTCCAGGAGGATTGATTCATCGGTTTACCTCAAAATTAGTAAGATAGGTTGATAATTTTAGCTCATTAACTCGTTTTAGCCCGCCCTCGCCTACTAATCTAGCTGGATTAAGGGTAGAGCGAGAGACGGACGAACTTACTTTTAAAAAAATATTTATATAATAAAATTAAAATAATAAGAATTATAATTAAAAATATTATAATTTGTGTGTTATATTGTTGAAATATCTAAATATATTATAATTTAAATTATAAATATTAACCAATTAAACTTAAATTATTAATTATAAATAGGTATTTTAATACATAAATATTGTAAAATTTCAAGTTATCTAATAAAAATATTAATTAATGAATAAAAGCTTAAAAATTATTCATATAATTAAATGTATACTTTTAAAAAGTATATATATAATAATTTTGTATATATAAAAAATTAGCGGGTTGGTCCGCTAACCCTTCATCCCACTCTTTGATAGGGTGGGTTGGGGTTTGTAGTCTGTCTTGACTATGGTGGGTTAGTCCGTCCCGTCTTGTTTTTTCAGGCTAAAAGGCTAGACAAGCCAAAATGGGACGGAGATGACTTGTTTTGTCATCCTAATTCTCATCTTTAAACTACACAACCCATTATTTTGTGTAAACTTATTTCATTTGCAATAAGTAATCATCCAAAATTTTCGTTATCTAATGATAATGAATATTAATATGCTTTGAATAAGAAGGATAAGTGAAATTCTTAACGAGATAAATTGCACTTTGATTGTCATAATACATAATAAAATTTTCTTGATTATGACCGAATTTACTCAAGAAAATTTTCATCCTTAGAGTCTCCTTGCAAGCTTCAAACACAACTATATTATATGTTTCAAACAAGTCAATACAAGCTCATAGCTCCCCTAGACAAAATTGTTACATATCTTAATGTAAATTTTCTTTTTTCCTTTGTTAATGGGTCAACATCAACATACCCTTCCAATATAAGATTTTTATTACCAAAAACACACACAAAAATTTGGTAGAACATTTTAGATTCATTAGTATCCATTTCATAACACTCTAATACTCCTTATTGCTATTTGACAAGAATCTACTTAACTCTCATTACATAAGTTATGTTTATTCTTGTACAAATCACAAATATAAGACTGCCCACAACAAATGAATAAGACATTTTGTTTGTCTTTTGCTTTTCTTCCACTTGTTGGACGTTGCCCTTTGCACAACTTCATGTACCTAGCAAATAGAATATTCACTGGCTTTATTGTATCCATATTGACCTCTTAAGTACCTTTTTAATGTACTTTTCTTATGACAACCACAACAATCTCTTAGAATGATCTTTAACAATCCTTATTCCAGGAATTTTGTTTGCATTGGTTGAAGTCCTCAAAATATGATGCTCAATTATAAAAGATTCAAACTTATACAAATTTCCAGGGATCTTTTTCAAATCGTAGAGACTTTTTTTAGACGACACACCAAGTGTTTCTTACCTCTTTCTTCAAAATCTTCTGGTTTATCCATATATATTTTTCTTATTCAAGTTCTTCATGAAGAAATACAATATTTACATAAGTTACTCAAAGGTCTAGGCAAGCTATTACATTTAAGACTATCCTTATAAAAGACATCTTCACCACTAAGGAGAAAATCTTTTTAAAATTTAAGCCCTTTTTTTTAGTTGCATTCCTTTACCATAATTTGGGCCTTATATCACAATTTTGTTCTCCCCTCTTCAAACTTAAACTTCCATATTCACTTGCTTTTTAGCATACCTCTTCCTCTAGGCAACTCCAAAAACTCATGTGTTTGGTGTTTATGCAATGAGGTCATCTTTATCTTTCATATCCACGACATCATCAAAGTTTTACAATTCACCATCATTATTGAGTATAACATATTCATCTAATGAGTACATATTAGAGGGATGCTTATATCTTAAACATTGTCTTAGCTCAAGATGTGTTTGATCTTCTTCCATTGGGGTTCAATGTCTGTCTAATCATCAAGATTTGTTTACTTTTCAAGATTCGTCTAAGAATGTGATAACTCAAGGTTCATTTTAGTCGAAAAAATTGACTTTGAGGATCCACTTTTTATGAAATTTTGTTTGTAGGATAATTTAACACATCCTCACTACTACTCCCCTAGAATTTTGTTTGCCCTTTATCATAAAGTTCCTTCATCGTTTGATCTTTGAAGAAAATTATGTCTTTACTTCTAACGATCCTCTTGTTTACAATATCTCATAGTCAATTATGTTAGACAAATGACATCTAGAGGGGGGTGAATAGATGCACAAATTAAAATAGATGTCAAATTAAAAATTTATTTGTGAGTCAATAATTTGTTTGAATATAGATAAAGCGGAAGCGATAATATAATCAGGAAAAGAGAAAGAGATAAGGGAAAGAGAAGAGCACACAGAGATTTATACTGGTTCGGGTATAGCCAACCCTACATCCAGTTCCCAGTCAACTCTTAACACAAGAGTGACTCCCCATTCACTATTTTTCAAATTCAGTTTACAAATTATAATCAACTCAATAGAAGAATCAGTAAAAAGTAAACTAATTAAAAAGACAATCACCTCCTTAGAAACCCATTAAGGATGAACACCTCCCTAGAATCTCACTAGGGATGAACACCTCCTCTGAACAAATCAAAGGATGAAAACACCTCCTTAGAATCCCACTAAGGATGAACACCTCCCTAGAATCACACTAGGGATGAAAAATACCTCTTTTTCACCAATACAAAAAGGATGAAGGAAATAAAAATAAGAATAGACACACCTGGGTAATGGAGACAACAAATTGTAGAAGCCTATAGAATGTCAATCTCCAAGAACAAGTGTGATTAACAATGAAAGCACAGAAGGCAGTAGAGAAGAGGATTTTCTCAAAAGGTGTAAAATATCTCTGTTGTCTTGCTCAGAATTCTTTTCTCAAAACTGATTAAATGTAAA